TAGTTGTATGAGTATTTGTAAAATCTAGTCCTTCGTGGAAGATGATGATGGTGGTGATATTATTATTAAGCCCCTAATATACTCATCGTTTGTCGTTATTAAAAAAATAACTTCTTTGTGACCGCCGAATGGATGGTCCAGCGCTTTTATCGGCTATCAGTATGTGTCGTGTACAGGCGGTGAAATGTCGATAGGCGACCGGCGCGATAATTCCGTCAAGCCGGCTGTCGTTGATCGTACCTATGTGATTTCAAAGAATTCCGAGAAGTCACCAAGAGACTTTAACGCGCGCGCGGGGAACACGGTAGTCGACCTTTTTACGTTAAGGAGCCGACAAAAAGAAGCACATACGGAGGAGGAGAAAAGAGTATGTACAAACAAGAAAAGGGAAACAACGTCCACGTCAATCCGTATTAGCCTACGGTCGGCCGAACCGTCAATCCTATTGTACCAGGCCTGTGCATGTGAACGCATCGAAAACCGAGAGAAGAATTAGTCCAAGAAAATATGGAGAGAAAAAAAATCGGACCTTCTGTCTAAATATAAAAATCCGAAAACGGCGGTGGCGGCGGTACTTCCATCGAAATGCAAATATACACTCAACTCTGCGTGCCGTTCCATGGGAAAATCCCCAAAGCCTCTACGTGCGTACAAGCACTGCGTTATTGTTGTTGTACAGGTCACTGTGTGTTTGTATTGTAACTTTTAACATCAAGTGGCCGCTCTGAGCCGGGGAGAACTACTGTTGTCGAATAAATAGAGTATCGACTTGGTTATTGCCGACGATGCGACAACCTGGATACACTCGAGTACCATTTTTTCCGTGTTTGACAGGCACCCCGCGCCGCTACGGCAGCTTGCGAGCACTCCACACCGTTAACGGCTAAAAAACAGCTCTTCAGACTACCCCTATGTACAGAGTAGAACGACGTTGTGGCGTTTAATCGACGGGGTCAATCAACGTAAAACGTAATTAATAAAAAAATACTAGAGGTACTGTTTGCTACAACATAATGGCTCTTTGTATTTTGTCTTCTCGACCATCGTGGACGTCACTATAGGTAAATTTAACTACACTGTAGTATATTGTATTCGTAGAAGACACGACAAAAGAAAAATTTATCAACTGTGTCAAAAAGCGGTGCAACCGATTTCAGAGCTATTTAGCTTAACTATAAGCTGATTTTAACACTGAAACGCTCTGCAAAATGCACCCAAATTTTCGGAAGGTCCATTTCATGTCTAACCTAACAGATTGTTATCCATGTAGACATCACAACTTGATTTGTAGCGACAACAATATTGTTCGCGTCTCAGTATATTTTTAGGAATGATTCACTCAAGTGGTACTCGGTAAATTATATAACTATTATTTTTAATAAAAAAAAAAAACGAAATGTGTTTCAGTTGGTCAACGGTCGTTAGCAATTTTTCGAAACATTTAAATTGTGTTTGATAAAAATCGTACATTTTAATAAGACGTCAAAACACTTTAGGAATCCATTAAAATGCAAAATTCGTAAGCGGATAAATTGCAAAAAATTCAACGAGAACAATCGGCAAACTTGCGAATCGCATCGAACATTTGCGTCGATTTCCGATGTTTGTCTAATGGATTTTTTATTGCTAGTTTTTTGTCTTACGGCAGTACCGAGTTGCGGAATCGTCAATTGTCGTGTCTAAACTACTGCGGCAAATTCGAACGTATTATGTTTAACTGTGACGCGAGTACTTAATCCGCAAAGGGCGTGCTAGTGACATATGCTCGTCCCCATACACCACTGCCAACGTTAGTAGAGATTATCGAATTCACACACACCCAGCTGTCTTTTTTTACATAATGAACTCGATGGCAGGAGAACGGCGGCTACGGTTGTGTATGTGCGTCTCGTTCTCTATTTGTGTAGACCCACAATGGAGACCCGCGATGTGTCTCTACGCGCGGCGGCGGTGGCGGTGGTGGTGGTGGTGTCCATCAGGGGTAACTTTATCCTCTCACATCGCGCGCACGGCATAATAATAGAGTCGAAACGCCATTTTTATCTGCTCACTGACTGACTGGCTGGCTGGCTGGCGGACAACAAAAACAGACTACATAATAATGCGCACAGGAAAACCCGGACGCGCACAAGGGGCTAAATCGTTCGACTCTGCGGCCCCCAGGGGTTCGACCGAGAGCACATCCCTTTGTGTTATTTGTGTACGGCGTGTTGTATGCGGGCAAATTACGCGGTGGGAAAAAATAAGTTGGCCGCAACAATTACGAGGAGGACACAGAGAAGCTATTCAATCCGCACATTGTTTTTTGTGCGCTCATTACAACTGACGTGTTCATAATGTACAAGTAAATAGACAATTTTTAATGAAAATTATGACAAAATAACCGGAGTAGATGACTCGACAAGGATGTCAGTTTTTAATATCCCGTGTACAAACGACTCACCTCGTCAGTTGATATTATATCTGATTAAAATTAATCATGTCAAATCTTGTAGCATAAAGAGTTTTTTATTTATTAAATGCCCATATACGACATTAATATGAAAGAGGAGTACTAATAAGAGGAACAATGTATCTTAACATGTAGATCATTTTACGATCAATTCATACTTAATTGTATTTTTCTACTTGCTTTAATTTACCACTCACTATACGGAAAAAATTAGCTTATTACATGCGCAATGGTAAAAAAAAAATTAATTGCCCCAGAAATATATGTTGTGGTTAAGTTCAACATACAAGGAAACACCCTTTTCAAATAAAAAACAATTTAAAAAGTCATTTTTGATTTTAATTACATTTTTTCTTGCAGCCAATTGGGATAATTTTGTTAATTGAAAAAGATTTTTTCTAATAAATATATAATTCACCCACATTGTGATAAAACAGTCTTTAAAAATAGGTGTTCGTTCCCTAGGTAATTGAAATATATCTCAGATAACGACTAAAAAAAAAAAAAAGAAGTAACATAATATGATCCGGGCTTCTTGGGAGGCTAGACATCCGTAATATGGATCTGGTAGCCTATATATGGGCCCTATCTATCTCAAAATGCTGAAAAAAATGTCAACCCAGAGGCTGTATTAAATATTTATGTACTTAGATTTCTAGTCGTTCTGATTACTGTCTGTAATCTGAAATATGTGATTCCAATTAAGTTTCTCATATAGTTATGAATGTATAAACACTGAAGAACTTGTTTGTCAAACAAAAATGAAATACGCTAGTTGAAAAAGTCATTATTATAAATATGAGTTAATGTATTTTACCGTTAACTTTTTGTATAATCTATAAAAATATTGTTTAAATAAAAACTGTGTTCCGTTTTAACGTTTGTATACATAACTATGAACTCAATGAATATATTATTCTCAATTAGTACCCATACATTTCTAATTAAAATTACAGTTACTATTAAAATAATTTGTAATCAAGCATTTGATTTAATGTAATACACTCAATAAGTTCACAAAGAATTGAATGATATTTGCCGAGAAAAACGTGAGAATAAAAATTGATTTCATCGAAACTGTTACACGATCATCACGAGTGTTCTATGAGACTTTTAAACTGGCATTAAAGAGCACAGCAGGGGGGGTGTATTTTGAACTTATGTGAAACGTTACATTCAGTTCAATGTCATCTTTTGAATCTATCCCTCCCCATAACTACACAGATGGATAATCACCGAAGTGGACGTAAACAATATAAATATTTTTTGTAGCGACTTTTGTAGCGTTTTTAATTTCCATTGCACGCAACAAGCATACGTTTAAATTTTGATGAGTTCTTACTGTTTAAAAACAAAAAANGTGGCCACTTTTTGTAGCGTTTTTAATTTCCATTGCACGCAACAAGCATACGTTTAAATTTTGATGAGTTCTTACTGTTTAAAAACAAAAAAATGTGTTTTCAATTCTAAATCGATATATTTAATAAAATTTTAGATAATTAGCCACAAGTGATCAATTTTTATTATACTTATTGATTGCGTTTGTGTCTCTTGGCAACGATCTAGCAAATAAATATTACAAACATGTTCTTGTCTTTTCTTGTGTTATTTTTTATCGTTGAACTGAATATTAACTCGGTGTCGACAGACGTGATAGACAAAGTAGAAGAATTCGTGAAGTCTGTTTTAGCAGCAGCCAATCATAGCGCGTTAGACCTTCCCGAGTATGTCTCTTTAAAACGCTACAAGGATGGGGTGAAAAATGGACGTTTACCCGAAACGCTTAAGTGCAGTCTTAAAGAAATGTTGGCCGTATCCCCAAAGGAAGATGAAAAGGCTTTAGTGGATATGTTGTGGGCGGACGACGTTGAATTATACGACAACTCACAACCATTTATTGGTAAAGTTAGTAGTAGAAAAAATAAAAACCCTCGCAAAACCAAAAAAAATTAGAAAATTAATTGATATTTGATGTGTTTGACATGATCCAACTAAGAAACATTTTAAACATAGTTTTTTTCCATTCCAGCAAATAATCAAATTATTTAGATTGTTCAAATAATTATAAATGTTGATAAAGTAGTATAGTTTAATAATACATTAATCTCGAATAATCGTTTTTGTTTTAAATTATAATTGTTGCCTTTTTTTGAAAAAAAAAAACGCTTAACTTCAAGAGAAAGTAGTTTGAAATAAATAAACGATTTTAACAAAATCTTCTTTAAGTGATAAAAGAATATTAATTTTTTCAAGTATAAAATCGTGAATTATTTATTTATATTCGTTCTACTGTAGTAATAATCTATTTTTTTTCTCGCTAAATGACCTTATAAAGTTTTTATTTCCACAATACTTAACGTCCCGCGGTGTTCAGCAATTATTCAACACCCGCATTCCTGTTTTCGAGCTCTTATACATACTTCAAAAAAAATAAATAGGAGTTTTTGTTAAACCCAATTATATATGCAGTGGTTTCCGCTAAGGACAATACATTAATTCAGGGAAAAAATAACGTGATCTTGGCATATAAAATATATTTAAATTAAATTTTTAAAGAATAATAATTCAATCACAGTAATTTGAATTAACATATTATAATTTGTGTAAAATGTGTTATATAAACAGTTTTATTTTATTGTACAAGATATATTTTCCGAACCCTGTGTCTTGTGAAACAAACAATAGGCAATAAAAATTATAATATATAATTAATTAATAATATTTACAATACTATATAACTTTGGTAAATTTATGCGAGCGCAAAAGGACTCACTGTAAACAGTGACAAATCTTAGCTTTGCTTATGATGGTTTGTAAGTGTGGAGCGGTTTGCAGGTAGTTTGTATATGTGCCGCATATGAACGGCTCGATTGGCGTTTGACCAATGGTCCGGCGAAAGAACAGTTCCACAACGGTACTTTTCGGTATTGCCCGGATACAAGGTAATATTTCTATTAGCTCTTCGTACCTGGAGTCAGGTCGAGCCAGATGGACGTGGTTAACGTGTCGTCTAAGAGCTTCTTTACTTTTCACTGCAAGTCCATCCAGAATGGTTTCGGTTTCCTCTGAACTGCAGCCACGACGATCCTTAATCGATTCTACCAACACACATTAATAGTAAAATCAATATGCGCACGTGATGTATTACAAAAATGAATAAAAAAAAACATAATTATTGTATTATTACCTGATTTGAGTAGTATGATTTCGTTTAACAGATATTGCTCAATGGGATCTACTTGCCGGTGTTTGACGGCCATTAGCGTGTCTTTGAATAGCATAGTCTGTTCTTCAATATCATAAGATCCAAAGTTTGACTTGTGCTCTTCGTGCAGTAAAGAGATGTCGGTTTCAGAAAAATATTGAGCGGCCGTTAAAATAAATAGCTCGTGCCAACTCTCTCGGAGCAATTCGAACTAGAAAGAAAATAAAAAGTTATAGCTCAAAATTCTAAGATGTGTATTAATTTTCAAATTAAGTACCTGGTCGATAAAAGGCAATGTCATTAGCGCAGGAAAACTCTTAACGGTAGATACTGTGACCAGAATGGAGGCGGCCGTTTCATAAACGGCCTGAGTGAGACGCATCGTGTTGAAAAACCTTGGCATGGCGGTAGATATCTACAGAGGACAATAATCAAGTGTTATTTGCAATTATCATAAATAGAGGCTTACATACCTCTGGTTTTAGCGCCGAAAGATAAAGGTGTGAGTCGGGAATGTATCTACTGGGTGGAGTCGAACACGATGTATTAAAATCCGGTGATCTTTTTGGCGTTAAATCCAATGGCGGAGAGTTGGAATCAGACCTGTCTTTAATGTAACAGATTCCTTGTAACTGCCGGCGGACTGTTGATGTCCTCGGACCTCGCTCGTGTTGGACAGCTGTAAATATATTAAAACATTAATAAGTTCTGACGTGTTAACAAAAATTGTGTATCTACTCACCATCCTTGTTCATACCAGCCATCATGCACTTACGAAGCCTACAAGCTCTACATTGGTTCCGGTGAGTCTTGTCCACCGGACACGCACCTTCTGCCTTAGACTTGCATATGTACTGGCGGTTCCGCCTTATTGATCTCTGTAAAATTAACGATTGTTAGATTAAAATGGTAAAATTTTGAGCAGTTCTATAACAAAATGCTTACTTTAAAAAACCCGGCGCATCCGTCACACGCATATATACCGTAATGTTTGCCCGATGAAAAGTCTTTGCACACTTTACACGGAATATCATAGAGGATCCGACCTAAACAAAAAAAATACCGTTTTATCATGTTGATTTATCATCGATGAATGTGAATCGTGGGAAACAGTGATCGGGTGCATGGGAATCGTCATCATCACTGATCATATTCGACCATCAAATGATGACACACAAATTAATGAGCTAACAGTGTTCCTCGACAGATGGACCGTGTGGAACTCTGACGTTTGACGTGCGTGCACCTGATGACTACCGCAATTTTTACCGCCCTCGTCGATCAACTACAAGGGGGTCGTTGTTTTCATGCAGTTCGTCAGTTCCGGTGCACGTATAGCTTTTGTGTGCTCACGGTAAGAAACACAACAACAGGTCCGGAAGTCCGTTCCCCGCCTCTAGTAAAGGCGACTCACGTTCTCATATATCACATGCAATTATTACCGGAGCTNTCATATATCACATGCAATTACTACCGGAGCTGTAAAACAAGTGCATCATTGAAAACCCTATACATCCCACACACGCAATTTAAACAATAAGGGCGTCGTGCCAGAGGGATAATTAGTATCTCGCTAATGCTGCACCAGTGTCATCTGCCATAAAAAACTAAAGTTGCTGTGTGTAATACACAAATATGCCATTGAACTAAACACATTATATGTGTGAGAATTATTCGATACACATTAACTGTAGTGTTAAAAACTAAGGTAAACTAAACGGTACGACTATTAATACTATATGCTAACAAATGGAATTTAATATCTCCATAATAGGTAAGGCATGTTTTTGATAACTGGATTGTCGTATAAAATTTTTACCTGTTTCACCATTAACTCGTTGTATTTTCTCAAACTGGGTTACATGAATTTATATTTTGTATCAAATTAATGGTAATGTGCGTATGAACCAAAAAATTGCCATTATTTTTTTAGCATTTACACAGAGTAATTGATACAAATATGAATTGTTTTATTATAAATACATATAAACGTATAATATTTACGGAAAATTAACTATAAAGTATATTAGATTATATAGGAGTCGTGTACATGTATCTATTTTATTACAAACATTTTAAGTCCATTAAAAAAATATATACCATAGAAAAATAATTGAGGAGATACAAGAAGGGAATTTCTCAAAAAACGTATTTTTTAAACGCGTGACTGAAATAAAACAAAACAATATTTTCTCAAGAATTACTTTAAATATATTTATATTAAAAATTAATTACAGGACTAATCGATTACTTGAAAATGTATTTTTATACGAAATGCCCTTTTGCACTCAACATCCAAATTAAAATGAATGTTTTACTCTCATTTTTTAGAACCATTTAGAAATGGAAATGCATTAATGACAAACGTTTACTGTTATCTATAATATTATGTATTTTTTTAATTATAAATAAATATCGTCAAGTTTTATCTTATGAAATGAAATTCTAATTTGTTAAACATTTAATGGTAAAAAAATGACACATCAATGTGTTTTTAATAGTTTTTAACCTCAGATTATACTTAAGGGTTATTTCAATAATTATTTTTTACATTTTTATGATACACCATTATATAACACAGCTGATAAAAAATAACTTTTCATGGATAATATTTTTAACGTTTAACTTTTAATTTTTCATGTAGTTAAATAAATAGATAGACCATACGAATTATTTGAATACATTAAAACTATGATTTATTGCATCTAAAAAAGGATTTTTTTACGGAAGACTTATTTAGTTTTTATTCTATTTATTTATGTGAAATTTATACGTAGTACATCGTAAAATAGTATGACACATAAAATATTTGGTAAATCCACTTACACACAATGTAATGTTAACTTTATCTATTGTTATTGGTCTATTTATGTATACGTTTATGTTTTCTGATAATTCATCGAGTTTATAAAATGTTTAATCAAATATTTTGTAAGACAAATATTTTGTTAAGATACGCGTTGAAAATATACTAAAAGTATTCAATAGAATTTGTTTATTATTTTACTAGCTTTTTAAAAATATTTAATTAACATTTTTCAAAAACCTTTTAAGGTAAAAGAAAATTAATTTCTGATAAATTCTCTTTTCTAGAACTATTTTTGTGATAGAATGCGTAAAATTCAAATGAAATAAATATTTAGTTTACTTTAGGACCCAGCAGTTAATAAAAACTCTATTAAACTAATCATTAATGAAATTATTAAAGATGTTAAGTTGTACAGATAAATTTATTTGTACGCATTATGTTTAAAAATAAATAGTTTTTTGTTTATTTTGATTAATAATTATTCAAAATCAATACACTTTAAATGAATTAAAACATTATCGACATATTTTTAATGATGCTTTGTATTTAAATGGGAGACACATATGATAATATGGAACTAAATGAAGAGTATGTCAAAAAGAAATGGACAATTTGAATTAAATCTATCAATATGGAAATACTATTTGTAGTATTTCTAAATATTTAATATCCTTTTTAAATAACTTTTTTCGCGAGTCTAAACTAAATCTAAAATAAATATCAAAAGTAAGCTGGGATTTTAAAAAATGAATTCAATATAAACTACATAACATCAGTAGGGCACAACGCGAGAAAACAACGTACTATGAAAGTTTATCATCATAATAATAACAAAGTGTAATGCTAGTATTAGCGATAATTGTTTTTTAAATACACGACGAATTTCAAATGACGCCTATTAATCAAGTAAAAAGTAGTAATATAGTTTTCGTATACAAATAAAATATAATAATTCAGTCGTACAAATAACAAAGTTATTAGTATGTGACTGAGAGAAGACATCAGGACGAAAGACTTAAACGCTGTAGTAAAAAGTTTTTGCATTAAATAGCCGAGTATGAAAAAATACTTACTGTTTGTCGGTTTAGTGGAAGTGTTAGAAACATGTTCTGCAAAGTTTTGCATTCTTAGGCTTGGGTCCATTATAAGACAATTAAATAATTAGTATCCAATATGAAGATGCACAGCAAAAGGATATCCAGTTGGAGTCAACAAACACACCGAATAAATATAACATACACTGACACTGGTCGCGACGTTTGTGAGATCAAAATGTCAACTCGGACAAGTCCCTGAAACGGCAGACACACCGGCGGACCCCGTGGGACATGAACGGGGCGTGTCTCTTGGGGTTGTAACCGAGGGCCGCCATTGGTGCACGAGAAGATCACAACCGGTGTCTCCGAGTAGGGACGCGTTGGGGGTGGGTGTTTTCGTATACAATACACGACGTTCCGCCGAAATATCTTCTGCGAGGTTCTGTTTTTTATTTTTTTAACGTGGCCAGTGTACGAGTGATAAAAGTCAGTTATACAAATGTATAATGCGGCCTAAATATACGGCGAGGGAGATAATGTAAAAACAGCTAACGGCGGCGGTGGCCGTTGATGGACGTGTTTGACGAACCGAAAGGGATTGGACCCGGCAAATATACCCCGGCAGATGATAAAACACACAATAATAACAAATACATCTATGGAGTTCGTGTGAGATAAACCCCATTGCTGCCCGAGGATAACCAGAAGGCAATTAGTCCTAGAGGTCTTTATGTGTTTATAGTGCGCCGAGGGGACATAATAATATAATACACGTATTGGCCGTGCGTTTATATCTCTAACGTTGCAATTGTGCCTTTATACTTAGGAAGAATCTGATGTACAGCGATGATTTTTAAGCCGGAAAATAAACACAGCAAGAGTTAAACGATGGCCCCAAGGCGTTTGATCATTAAACGATCGAATGAAATTCGAACAAGGTTGTAATTCACTCGTGTCTAACAAAAATGTTTAAACAAGACTTGAAACAATTGAAAATATTTTTATTTGACATAATCACGACAGAATTGAATTTACATTCTACTAGATACATACAAATATATGTCTGTTTTAGGTGAATTCAAATCTTCTGAGAAGTGACGACATATGCCTTATTCAATAATTAATCATAAATACATTAATTGTACTTGAAAATTACAAGTCAGGCAGAGCGGGTCTATTTGTTATACGAGAAAGTTGTTACTATTGAGTTATTTTAGTTCTAAAATTGTAATAATGATTATACCTATCTTACAAATATTACAATTGATTTACATTTTTATGTTTTTGTCAGTCACTAGAATATTTAGTTGAAATTTTGTTTTTTATTTCGTTGGTCAAAAATTGAAGTCGAGATATTTTTGATACGACATACTTTGTAAATAGGAAGTACTATTTTATTTTCTATTTTGAAATCATACAATTAATAATGTGTTTTTGTATAATCACGTTGTATGCAGAGAATTTTAAATGAGTCTATTCGTTACATTTTGTACAATATCTAATTTAAATGAACATATGTTAATATTGTAAACATGTAATATTTGGTTTTATAAAAATTAAAGTCTAAATTTTCCTACATAAAATTAAGCTTAACAACAATTCAAGTAGAATATTTGCAAACATATATATTATTAAAATTAATGCTACTTACAAACTTATATTAAGCAATCTTTAATATTGAATTATCCCCGTTAATAATCATAGCCGTTGATTTTTATTTATTTTATTACAAAAATTATACTATCTCTTAACCAGATAAATTTAAACGCTACTTCACTAGAGGTTTTTTTTTGTAGAATAAGTTTCTGTTTAGGTTTTTTATTTTCAACTTAATTTTTTTAATTATACCAAAAGCCTCAACATTATATTCAAGTGGTTTTCATTCTATAAGTTTTAATCGCATATTGATATGATTCATATCATTAAATTATGTTCCTTTAAAGTTTTATTTTCGAGTTAAATTTCTCTGATACGTTTAGGTTTATCTTTTGATTTAACTATAAAATCATAGAATTGTTCACGCAGGATAACCTGAAGTATAACAATAATTAAAAATAAATAAAAAACACATAACATTAAGTAGATCAGAAGTTCAGACTTGTCAAAACATCGTGCACTATTCTGTATAAATGACATTTTGGCGACACTTAATAATTAGTTTGCTGAGAAACACTGTGAGAAAGGAAATATTTCTAGTATTTAAAATAAAAAATTGTGTTTATGTATACGTTTTTCTAAATTACAGTAACATTCAGTAGAAATTTCAAATAGAATTCACTATAAAAAAAAACAAATGTACACATTTTGAATGCAGTAGCCGTTTGCATCAGAAGTTCAGAGGTAAAATTGTTATTTTTTTAATAAAGTGGTATATAAGCCAAAGTTAAAATTATAGTAAGTTTAAATACAAATTTTACTACTCTAACCATCTCCTTATAAGTAACTTCGACGTGAAGATGAAAAATAAACTGTTTTCGATTTTTTTCACCAAAATTTATTGAATTTTAATTTTAAAAACTTCTAAACATCTCTATTCGATCTCTTACACAACATCGGTTACATCGGTTAAGTAGTTATTGCTTTAGTTATTATTTTCTAAAATATTGTTGGAAATCAAAATTAACATCTAGTCAAAACGATTAGTAGTCAATGGCACAGCTGTCTTTTTCGATTTACAGTTGAAGATAAACAGCGCAAGTAATGATAAGTCATCATTGTGTTTGATCATTTCAACACTAGCGGTTCGAACACCAATCGACGACATTTACCCGTGTAAACGTATTTACTTTTTTTTTCTTAACACGCCTCTGCATTGCGTACAGTGGCGCCACTAGCGGCAAAGTTGATACTTAGATCCTCCTGAGTTTTATGGATTTCATACAAATATTTATCATTAAAATTAATGTCCAAAATTAGAAATTCGCATTAAAAAAAAAAAAAAAAAATCATTAATAAGAGTTCGTATTCAAGTTAAATGTTACTATAGAAACTTACTTGGAGAGTCCTTAAGATCAAGTTGTGTTATTGATCCGCATCAATACAATCAAACATTAATAGTATTGTCTAGTGAAAGAAATAAAATTATCTTTTTAACAATCTTTTTAAGTTGATACAACAGCGTGTATGTCCTGTTATTATAGCAAAGTTAACAAGCCGAAACTTCTCACTATGACGAATGGTCATAGTGTTAGTTCCATTAAGTGGGCTTGGATATTTATAAATTGTCTGTTTAAGAAACCTCAAAGTTTGTCTGACAAATAGTACAAACAACACTGCGGTGTAATAATAATGGTATATTGTTTCCCTATTACAGTTTAATTAATTGCATTCAGCTCAGTGATTTGAAAAAGAGCATCTATAATATTTTCTCGGTGACAAAGAGGGTATATTTTAAGAGACTATTTTTGTAATAAAGACACCATCGTACATAATAATATACACATATTCCAGATAATTATTTTATGCGCAGGTAAAACCGGGTCATTGATGGTCTAGCAAACAGTAGGTTCAAAATTAATAACAATACATAATACATAAAAAAGACCCCTTCTTAGTGAAAGGTCCTAAACACCGATCAAAAATTAACGGGTAAATATTAAAATATTATTATATAGATGTTCAGTAAGTCAGGAAACGGGTTTCTATTGTTCTCATTGTTTGTAACAATTGACCTGTTTCCTTACTTACTGAACACCCTGTTAAACACCTTGCAAAAAAACTGTACAGTACAAATAATAGAATATAATAAATCTTTAAATAGGACCCAGCATTAAAACGAAATGTTTTCAATATTTAATTCTGTTGCTATTTTTCAAAAGCTAATCAAGTTCTCTACACAAATTATAAAAAACTTTTTTTAAGACTAGAGGAAATTGTTTTAAATTCATTATTTTTTCTACTGAACACATCGGCGTAAATAATTAAATGTGAAGAATGAGGTTGCATTGAGTTAAGGGGCCTTTTTGACTATTCAGAATGGTGATTTTTTTTTTGGCATCAGCAAAAATATTTATGAATTAAAAATTGAACAAAACAATTTTTTTAATGGAAATGTTATATGATATTAGTATAATACGATAAATTAAAAAATATTCACATTTAACTTTTGAAATTTACCCTTAAAAACTAGAAATAATTTTTTCCTAACAATTGACTTTATATTTACTACGGTTCATCAATATAAATCAAATTTTAATATAGATATTTTTTAAAATTATTATTTAACAAAACATTTAGAGGAGGCAGTATTTGTAATATATTATACTGCATATTTACATAATTGAAAAACCAGCTACGTGTCGAAAATTGGAAGATGAAGGATATTTCTCGTCCATAGGATTCACTACCACTTAAAATAATATGTTACTTGACTTTAGTATATTTCAATTACACTTCTATCAGTAGAATTTAGCTATCATTAGTTAAGTTATTTTTTTTTTTACGGATTTTGTTACGTTATCGTATGATTGTACTTACAATTAATAGACAATAAAATGTATAAATGAAAATGTACATTTTTTACACAATCTAGATAAAATAACCAAATACATAAGTAAGTCTGATTGAAATCCAATATCTTAAACAATGATATAATATCCATAAACATATCGTAAGACGTTAGTAAGATTCTACGATTTTTCCTCACTTATATGTTAAATAGATTTAGAATTTGAATTTTATATGAAAGTATTTCAAGATCTAGCCTAATATTAGAAATTTTTTTAACGTATTTTTCATCTATCTGAGTATATATATATGTATATATATATATATATATCTAAATATATGAGTTTTCCTGAAAAATATCATTTTTGTCATCTTTCCTCAGCTATTTTGTAGGATGACGAATGGGTTAGATAAGATTAAGAGATTACATTAAAAAACGTTGACTATGATTTTCTAACTACAACTGAAATTAACGTGTGTTAGTATTAGTGAGTAACAAAGTATACTTTGATAGGGTTTTATGTTAGCTAGGATCTGATGTTATATGTGATTAATTTTATCGGATACTGAATTATTTATCTTACTCCATTTTTCCCTATTATATAATAATTGTTATACATTGCAAGATTAACTACATTTGGTACAATTCTACACTCAGTCTTCAAACAAATTCCAAATTCAGAAAATTTCAGCACAAAAACTGTTACTAATATTTCTAAAAGGATAAATAATATATCTTACGGCACTGCATACAATGGCGCAACTAGAAGGAAATTAAAAAACTTTTCATCACAAAACGGAATTAT